AACCCTCTGCTGCTTTGCAGTGAGGCGGGGGAAGCCCCATGCAGCCACTGGCAATGGGCCAGCTGGGGAAATCATCCCCGGAGATGGTCATGTGACTCAAAAAATGTTCCCCCCCCAAAAAATCATGCTATAGCAAAAACGTTTTATGCGGGCATGTGTTAAATGAGGAATTACTGTATATTGGGCACCTGAGAATACAGCATGCAATTCTGAGCCCTTTAATAATAGAAAAAGGTCAATAAATGGGGTGGAATTCAAAGGTCAGCAAGGAAACTTGAAGGGACTAACTAATGAGAAATGAAGTTAGATCTGATGAGTTTGGCTAAGCAATGACACACTGGCTACGTCTACACTGGCATGATTTTCCGGAAATGTTTTCCGTTAAAAGCATTTTCGGAAAAGCATGTCTAGATTGGCAGGACGCTTTTCTGGAAAAGCACTTTTTCCGGAAAATCTTCCGTGGCCAATCTAGACGCGCGTGTCCATTCAGTGTGGATGCTATCTTTCGAAAAAACAGATGGCTTTTTCAATGCATTTTGGCAGTGCGGACGCACTCTTTTGGAAGTTTTTTCCAAAGATCTCTTCTGGAAAAGCTTCTTCTGAAAGAAGCCTACAGTCTAGACGTAGCCTGAGTCTCTGAAGGGCATAGACACCCAAGAGGAAGATGAACTATTTGGAGTGGTCCTAGAGGTATAAATATAATACAACAAATGGGATGAAGTTGAGCAAAGGAAAGGTTACATTAGACATCAAGAAAAATATCCTATCGTGGGATTTGCTAGTGGAATAGTTTTGCAGGGGAAGTTGAGATGTTCCATCCTTGAACACTTTAAAAGTGGAGTACAAACACTACCCTAGGATATCCTGCAGAGAGCAGTCCTGAGCTGGAAAGAATGTGGATTCATAAAGCTGATAGGGCTTTCCCACCTGTAAACTTACATAACACTATGATAATATGCTGCAGCATATTTTGTAACTTAAAAGGAATCTGTTCAATAAGATTCCAATCCTGAAAATATGTAATTTGATGTAGTTGAGTAGTCACACCAGGTGAAATGCACTCCTGTGCAGAGAGACACCATGAGACCTACGCATCTATTTTGAAGGCGCAAGAGGGAAGTAAGTGGCAGTTAGGCCTTATGTTGGAGAGGGGGGCATGCATGTGTAAGAATTTTATCCATTGTGCATAATTTGTGTTAGTGTTTGCAGTATTGAGCCCTAAAATAATTCACGTATTCTCTACATAGTTCTGCAGGCTATCGGAATCTGTCAGGGTATGTCTACACTACAACGTTAATTCGAACTAACTTAGTTCGAATTAGTTAATTCGAACTAACTTAGTTACTTAGTAACTTAGTTAACTAATTAGTTAATTCGAACTAACTTAGTTCGAATTAGTTAATTCGAACTAACTTAGTTACTTAGTAACTTAGTTAACTAATTAGTTAATTCGAACTAACTTAGTTCGAACTAAGCTAATTCGAACTAACGGATCCAGACTAAAAAACTAGTTCGAATTAGCGTGGACCCTGAACCAGGCTTAAGGAAGCAGTGCCAGCAGGGCATCAGAGGAGGACTTAGAGCATGGAGATGCTGTCTCAGGCTAGCCGAGGGCTGTGCTTAAAGGGTCCCAACCCCCACCCCGGTCAGACAGTTCTCAGGGGTGCCCCACTTGCAAAGCAGTCCTGGCTTGGAGTGCCTGGAGTACCCACACTGGGCACATCACAACACTCGGCCATCAGCCTGGCTGCACTTGCCGCAGGCTGCCATCTGGGGAGAGGGGGTAATTGGGGGGCTGCAGGAGAGCTTCCACCCCAGAAGCCCGCAGAGCCAGCCCAGTCCTCCCCATCGGGGGC